GGAGTTAATGGGTTGTCTCGCGCTCTCAAGGTTATACCGAACATGTAGAGAAGCTTTAGAATTCGCGGAGATTAGCAGCTGCAAGAAAGTGTTCTGGATCGACTCCCAAGTTGTGCTGTCATGGCTTAAATCAATTCCGAGAAAATTTAAACCGTTTGTCTCGGTACAAGTTGCTGAAATCCAAGAGAAAATAGACCCTCAAGAGTTCAGCTACATCAGATCTGAACATAATCCAGCTGACGCCTTGACGAAGGGAATTCTCTCGGAACAGCTGGAAAAATGGTTACAAGGACCGCAGATCCTTAGAAAGCCGCAAGAAGAGTGACCCAAATTTGAAGAAAATGCTCTGAAGATAATTAAAGAGTTGTCACCTGAAATGAAACCTCCCATTGAAGCCAGACCAACGTTCTGCGACAAAGTAGAATTTTCAACTGCCTAGAAAGAATTAAGAGACAATCCTCTCTTTGAACATTTGATGAGAACGTGTTCAACATTCTCAAAGGCCAGGAAAACCTTAGCTTACGTACTAAGATTCGTCAACAACACAAGAATGATAGAGATCCAATTTCGCCAAAAGAACTGACGGAGTCAGAACTTCGGTTGTTCAAATGGTGCCAGCAAACGATTGACGTCGACAAGCTAGATAAGAAGCTTATTCCGTCAAAGGACGAGCATGGATTACTACGCGCGCATGGAAGATTGGAAAACATAAGGACGCTTCTTGATGAAATGCGCAGTCCTATTATCGTCCCGAAGAGTCATCGATTAGTCTAACTTTTACTCGTTCACCTACACGGAAAACGAGCACACTGCGGTTACAAGAGCCTCATTTACGAAATCAAGAAAGCGATTCTGGAATGTGGGAGTACGTCACATGGCAAAACATCTCACAGGAAAATGTGTGATTTGCAAGGACCTGCGAAAGAAGCCATTGGACGAGTTAATGGGCCAGATTCTTAAACTACACGTGGCTCCAGGGTTTGCATACGACTTGGACGAAAAAAGCTGAAAGAAGTACATGTAATTATATTCACTTGCATGACGAACAGAGCAGTCCATCTTGAGCTAGTAACAGATTGAAGTAGCGACACGTTTCTTATGGCGTTTCGACGATTTGTGTCCTTGAGAGGAAATCCTAACAACTGCTGGTCCGACTGCGGAACAAATTTCATTGGAGCTCAACACTACCTGAAGGAACTTTTGAACGACTGGGATATTCCTAGAATACAGAGCGTTGTCTCAGAAGAATCTTCGTCTACTTTTCAGTGGAGTTGGAATGTCCCTCGCGCCAGTCACCAGAACAGAATTGTGGAGTCTCAACAAATCAGTACGACAATCGTTGGATGCTACGTCCAAAAACCAAGCCCTCACAGAAGAGCAGTGGAGAACGTATTTAGCAGAAGTTACATGCTTAATAAATCAGCGTCCTCTCTACCCAAGCTCAAACGGAATTTGGGAAAGTCCGCCTATCAAGCCGAATGATCTTATGATCGGAAATCATTTTCCTCCTCCGATGCCAGAAGTGGAATCGAAAGTAAATCCAAGACACCTTATAAGAAGTACATAGAAACAAGAGTTTTGCAAGAGTTTTGGAATTGCTGGATGAAATATTTTGCTCCCAATCTGCTGCCAAGAAACAAGTGGTTCAGAAAGCGAGAAAATCTATGAAACGGAGATTTGGAGTTAGAAATTGAACCAACTCCCAGAAGAACGTGGAATATGGGACTTGTACTCGAAACTTATCCGGGTGAAGATGGTCTTGTTAGAAAAGCCAAGATTAAAACAGCAATGTCAGTCTGTGATCGACCAATTCACAAATTATGTTTAATCGCGACAAAAGAAGAATTAAACAGCATGCCTTAGTTATACAACCTGGTTAAGGCTAACTTATGTAGTGCAAAGAAACAAGTTGCTCAACCAATTACTTAAGTAATTTGCTTTCCGCAGCGGGGGTGGGGAGGGGGGGGGGAGTGTTTCGCATTCCGCCCATAGCCAGCGATACTGCGTATATTACATAGTGTTAACTCCCACGAGGATATTTTAGGGTATATAAGCGGCCACGCGGTATTACACACGATCAAGATAGAGCAGAAATGTACCAGGTTTTTTTGACTCCCTCCCTTGGAGTCTTCAGCGTTTTAAGTGTGCAATCAGAAAATTACAGTATACAGAATAAACCTGTTGTAAGTGCAAAAAAATGGTACGTGATTCTCTTCCAAGTGGATTCGACACATATCCAAATCACCTACTATTTAGGAGCAGTTTTCACGGGGGCGTGTATTAGAGAGGGGCGTTTAATACAAACTTCATGAACAGCGTAGGGGGAGCGTTTATTAGATAAGAGGCGTTTATTTGAGAGTGGGTGTTTATTAGATTATTTACGGTATAGCCAAACCTGTATTAAGCGAACCTGTATTTTATTTTGTGGTCAATCACTTACCAAAGTCCCGGAAATCCTTTGTTTAATTATAAAATTAACGTGCTGCCAGCTTTTCCGAGGTCCCATCGAGTTATTTTTCATTGTCTTTATCTCTATTAAACTGTAACTTTGACAATTTGCACCAGTATGGTATTAGTACAACAGTTACAGTGTGTAACCTGTATTAAGCTGTCAGTAAGCCACTGATACCCTCTGGCTGATTCCTGAGTGGGATCTTGTGACCTTATTTTCAAGGCGTCCACAACCACCAAGTTAACCATGTCAGGTGAGAAACAAAACTGTCAAAACTGAGTTCATTCAGTTAAAGATGAAGAGGGTGTTTAGTTGTACACTTACTGAATAGTGATACATATGATTTTATGTGAAGTGTACATGAAATAATTCATTTTGAACTGCGGTTGTAGATGAAAGTGAAGAATGATCATCGCAGTAAATTTTCCAATTTAGGCAATTGGAAAGAAGAAGCCTGAAAAAAATCAGGGCTTCAACGGGATTCGAACCCGTGACCTCCGCGTTACCGATGCGTTGCTCTACCAACTGAGCTATGAAGCCACACATTGGGAGCGAGGTCAATTTATTGAGTTCGTATCTCCCGTGAGGAGTGAAATGATGTGAAGTATACATGAAATAATTCATTTTGAACTGCGGTTGTAGATGAAAGTGAAGAATGATCATCGCAGTAAATTTTCCAATTTAAGCAATTGGAAAGAAGAAGCCTGAAAAAAATCAGGGCTTCAACGGGATTCGAACCCGTGACCTCCGCGTTACCGGTGCGTTGCTCTACCAACTGAGCTATGAAGCCACACGTTGGGAGCGAGGTCAATTTATTGAGTTCGTATCTCCCGTGGAGTGAAATGATGTGAAGTATACATGAAATAATTCATTTTGAACTGCGGTTGTAGATGAAAGTGAACAAAGATCATCGCAGTAAATTTTCCAATTTAAGAAATTGGAAAGAAGAAGCCTGAAAAAAAAAAAAATCAAAAAAAAATCAGGGCTTCAAGCTTCAAGCTTCACGCTTCAAATCAGGGCTTCAAGCTTCAAGCCCTGATTTTTTTCAGGCGTCTTCTTTCCAATTGCTTAAATTGAAAATTTACTGCGATGATCATTCTTCACTTTCATCTACAACCGCAGTCAAAATGAATTATTTCACGTATACTTCACATCATTTCACTCCTCACGGGAGATATGAACTCAATAAATTGACCTCGCTCCCAACGTGTGGCCTCATAGCTCAGTTGGTAGAGCAACGCATCGGTAACGCGGAGGTCACGGGTTCGAATCCCGTTGAAGCCCTGATTTGTTTCAGGCTTCTTCTTTCCAACTGCTTAAATTCGAAAATTTACTGCGATGATCATTCTTCACTTTCACATATGATTTTCCAGCTTACTTGGTAACGATTTTTAATTAATTCCTGTGTTTACTTAGAATGTAAGTTTCACAAAAACACCACAAATGCTTTGGCACTTTTTTTTTTCAAAAAACTCTTTATACACTTTGAATTTGTCAAAGTATTAGTGGCATGAGATTTTTGCTCTAAACGTCATTTAGAACGATTTTCGTAAGACCTTGAAAAATGGTTTCGGTAAGTGTTCGTTATTTGTCTTATAAGCCAATAGATAAAAAGATCAAAAAATGGACTCTTAGTTTTCCCGCTAAAGAAAACCCTAACATGGAGAAAGCATTGTTTGATTGGCCAATCGTGTTGCAATATGACGTCAAAGCAAAGTATCGATTGATTTCTATAAAGTTCTCGGGCATGAAGTTTTTTCACCTGAGGGCTTGCTTAACCAACCAAAAGCCACGCGCGTTTGTGTCCGTTCTATAGATCAATCAAATCGCTCTATTTCCGTTCGTTTGTTGTTTCTGTTTTGTTGGCGCGTTTTCATTTCAAAGTCATACGAAAATCGTTCTATTGTTGCTTTGTTTTTTGTCTACTCCGAGTATCTAAAATGACCAATTCGATTTCTGGGACTTAATACCATCGTATCGAGATCCGCCTATCGAAAGCATTCAAGTACAGTGAATGTTTATTGTTTTTTTAAACTTTTTAAAACAGTATAATATAAGGTAGAGCTAAGCCAATAGTCCAATTTCTGGGGGAGAGCTAGGGGGAGGGTGTGCACCCCCCTCGCGACTTTCTAATACATCTGGTATTCTGCGAAAAAACTTTGCGGTTTATTGGTAATGAAGTAAAACATGAGACGACGTTGAAGAAGTAATGTTCTACGCCATAAAAATGGTAGTTAAAATGGTAGTGGTGCAGCCCCTCCTAAGAAGAATCCTGTACTCGCCTTTGAATTTTGACTGCCTCGTGTAGGCTGTGATAGATTGTACTCGCAAAAGTAGCACAACATGCTACTAGCAAAGCTAGTACATTTCGGGTTGAAATTTATGCCGATAATTATGCTAGTTCTTGTAAATTACGTCCATGTTAGTAAAAAATATAGAAAGTATGAATTTGGTAAAAACACCTCAATAACTATGCAAGTAACAAGTAAATGGCAAACACATTCACCCTAATTATCAATAGAAACTTTACCGGTGCATAATTTATTGCATGACAACTTTAAAAACTCTGAAAAATAGCAACCAGCTTGCAGACGCCATCTTGGGTAAGTGAGCTAGTTATGCGAATACGTTGAGCAAAAAATGATAATTTTGAGCTGCAAAACCAACCAAAAGTGCGAATTATGCTAGCAGTGGTTTTTCGGAAGATAGATGAAAATTGTGCTCGTAACGTGACGAATTAATGCCAAAAATTATACTTGCACAATCTATGAAGCCTAGCGTCATGTCTTGTCAGCGTAGCCAGCAGATCACGACAGTACCTTTACTGTGAAGTTATAATACGAAATTTTCATCTTGGGCGCTTTTCATTCATCCCAGAATTGGGTTAGAAATCAAATTGAACGGACCATTTCGGTTTGGTCTGACAGAAATATTTGGCACAATCTTTGGAGGTGGTCCACTTTGAGTTGGACCGAAATGTCCCTCTCCATTTGACAAAATTGTTGTTTCCAGTACCGCTCTTCTGAATCCTGTTTACCGGCCTTGGGTCGGGTCATACCGTTTCACTGAGCGAAATTAACCCGAAATTTTTGTTGACTGAAATGCGGTCCTTGTTGTAAGTTGCAATCGTTGTTATCCCTCTTTACATAAAAGGATCTAGTACACTATGGACACTCTCTTTGAATGATCTTCTAACAACACCTCAATTAATAGAATTAGGTTTCTTATAATCAACGTTTTTTTGTGTGTGTTTGCTATGGTCCGGCAGGCATACTGGGATCTGCCTCAACGTTGTTCCTTCTTAAATAACTTTGGGGGTAAACACCTGTTTCATTTGAGAGGCTAAATTTTTTTTTTTGAAATATTACGTGCCTTGTTTGCTAAGGTCCAGCATGTTGATTGTGAGGCCCCATTTATATAGAGTTAACTTCAGTCCTGGATAGAAGAGTCACTCGCTCACTCTAGCTACCCTGGATCGGTCAACGTTTTGTACGCTTCGTCACAAAGCGCAGTGAACCATTTGCACGAGAAACAAAAAGTTGGCTTGGCTAGAAGAGAAACCCAGTTGTTACCCTTTTTCGATGGTAGGGCATCCTCCTAGCTGGCTAACGTTTCTCCATAATATATAGATTTAGCCAACATAATAAGCAGTTTCTTTTTTATTTAGTGGTTTTATAACGATGTGCAATCTTCAAAAGCGTTAGTACGCGCGGCGTTTTGAGTACTCCTACAAGCGATGTTCATGAACAACCGAAAACAAACGGCATAGCGATTAAAATTGCAAGAGCGACTACTGAAAATCCATAAAAGAAATATAATTCAGTGAAAAATATACAGAGACAACAATTTTCATTCACGAAGACAATTATTTAAGTGTCTCTAAAAATCCTGGGTCTTCAAGCTTAAAGCATAACTTTATGTTTTAAGCCGGCTTTCCGGTGTTTTCTTTTTTCAAAGATGAACTCGAGCCAAGAAAATCGCTCAAAAATTTTATTTTACAGCCAGAATTTTAACTAAATATTCTTTGGAACGTCTTCTTTCTATTTGCGGTGAGGAAATGTCTAAAGGCTTTTAAAAGTTCTGTAAGCTTATATAAAACCTGATCTCGGTCAGATCATTGTCTCAAATCTTACAAACGTGCATAAGCTAAATTGACCTCGATGGGTGGACACCTGAGCCCGCGATACGGTCAGGTGATACTGGTCAGCGGATATCCTGTTTTGACAGCTGTCAATTGATCACAACATTGATGTGCAATATGTGTACAATATCAGTTTTCCTGTCCTCCCAATCTTGCCAGAAAGTGTGGGATTGAACATTGGTATGCCTGTGGTGCGGACGGACGGTCGTTCGTTCGTTCGGTGTACGGTCACGTGATTACCAAATTTTCTGGGATGGGTAGATTTACTTACCCATGGTGTTCCGCTGGCGCGCGCTTCGCGCACGAGAGCTCCGCTATAAACACTCTGCCTCGTCCGGCTGGGTCAACTCGGGTCAGCTATAAATTGGTGTGGCTCACAATTCTCAAATGGATATTGAAAAGGTACATATATTTAGAAAGGAAAAGAGAAGCAATTACAGTCCCACAATCATTTTAATTGTATTTCAGGTATTCCCCAGACACGGATGTCCAAAAGAAGTGTTCTACAGTTTGGGTTTATGATTGCGTGTGAAACGAAGCGAAGTCCTCTCGAGTACAATGGTTACGGGTGTTACTGCGGACAAGGAGGAAAAGGAACACCCGTGGACGAGATTGACTGGTAGATACCCATGTTATAATACACGAAGTCTGTAAGGGGGGAGGGGGAGCAAGGGCTCCTAATCCCGCAGTTCCGTTCGAACTTCTGTCGTCTCTATTTCGAATATTGTTTCCCGCTTCTTGGTTAGTGGTTAAGTGTTGAAGTGTTGGACCTGGGGCATCAAGTAATTGTCCCGAATGATTCCGCGCAAACCCGTGCAATCGAGAGGACGAACAAGTTTGATGTCCTCCGAAGAATTTTCCCTAAAACTTAATATTAGAAAAGGTTATCTAATAAAATGTTTTCAAAGCCATAACGGATGAATGTCAAGCAGCGTTTATTAAAAAAAGTCGGTTATAGCTTACAAAAAATCTTACCTGGCAAAATCCTCACATTTTATATTATGTACTTTGACAGGTTAGGGAAACAAACCCAACAAAATCTTTTCCCACTGAAGTATCGGATGGCCTCAAAGCTATAATCGCGAGATAATTTATCTTTACGTTTTTCGTATACAATTAACTAAGTTGAGTAATTGTTATCTTGTGAAAATCTACTAATTAATTTTCAGTCGTGTAATAAATCTCCTGTAATAAAGCTTGCTCAAGACCGTTCAGGGAAATATCGACCACCTCCCGCTTTTTCTTGTATAGACCTCGCTGGGGTTGGTCTGTTCTGTCAGGACCTTGGGCCAATATTCTACAAGTACGGTCCTTGCACTTCGTTAATAACATATACGTACAATCCTATCACCCTCATTTACACGGGCTTTAACAGGCAAGGGGAGAGGATGGCGCTCGTGTTCCCGGTTTTCGCATTACGTATCAACCCTCCAGAGTTTTTACCTCCCTAAATTATTAGAGGAGCTAAAAGCTAAAATCTATACATTTTTTTTTTCGAAAGGGTTCCTCGTTTTGTGATAGAGATATGCTTGAATTTCTAAGCTTTTGCGTGACGCGAATTTTACATGGTGGCCGAGAAAGCTGTCATGTTGGTTGAAAAAGTGACCTATTTGGGAGATATATGCTGTATTAATAGTCATTGTATTAGAAAAAGTAATACTTTAGTGTTTATGAGTTCCTCTAGACATGAATTCCTGCTTTAGTAGCAAAACTCAGCGACAGATGTTTCTGTTAGTTTCCTTGCGTTATGTTGGTGTCCATCCGGATGGGCACCAACATGACGTCTCCATACAAAGCTCTATAAATTTTGGTAAATCATTTCTTCCAATATCCCGCATATCAAAATTGTACTGACCTGAATCTTAACTAGGGTCTTTGCATATTTACCTTCTTCTATTTCCCAGATACTGGACTTTATTTATTAAAAGGTTTTGATCTTTTGGCTTTTCTTTTATTTTTAATGGCTTGATAGTGAAAACCAGCGATTAGTGTTTCAAACAAACTGCGACCACATGGTTCTTTTTTCAGAATGCTGATTTCCAATTCTTATTGCAGGTGCTGTTATGCACACGACATGTGTCATTATAAGTTGCAACCGAAAGAAGCTTGCGGCAGGTCCTATCACATTGTTGAGTTGTACTTAATTCCCTACCTACGGAAGGGTTGTTCGGGTTGTGGTAAGTGTAATGATCAGCGGTATCTCCGTACGCATGCGTACATAGTTATTAGTGTGTGAGGTTCGACCATGTTGTGTAGTTCCGTACTAGAGATTAAAAATTTTTGGAATCCTCAACCATCCTAGTTGTTAGTAAAGATTATTACAGTAAATGCGTTCCTTGATCTAATTGCAATAAAGCAGTATAGTACAACAGATGTGTGACAACAAGAATAATTTACTTCACCAAGATGGCGGTCTTACAAGAAGTGAACTCACTACTAATGAGTATGATAATCACAGGACACCCAACCAGTATATTACATAATCACTGACAATTAATAAGACCCCGCAACCCCATCAAAAATTAAAGACACAACAACAGTAACAAACAAACAAACATATATAATAAGACTGGTTTATCAATAAAATCGTCGCGCTTAGAAATAAGCGAATTGCGAAATTATTTTACAAAGATATAGATATTAATTAAAACAATAATAAAAAAAAATCAATTTAAACTAATTACGTCGTGTTCAAAATGGACTGGGCCTTACAATCATGAGAAGATATAATACAATAAATTAGATAAAAAACTAGAAACTAGAAATATATATCAATTTATACATTGAATTTCCATAAGTTCCTAAATTACATGCCATGAGCATAAAGGCACATCGCCGGAAAAAGCTTCGTTTAAAGCGTTCAGTTTTGCAACTTATAAGGGATGGTCTGTCTTTGTTGCGAAGGGAGCGACCGTGCGCCTGCGACCGAGTCGGTGGAACAAGATGGCAAAGACGGGACTCGGGCTCTTTTATCTTGGTAAATAATTTGCTACACAACTCCATTCTTCTCGCGTGAAGTGATACACACCCGGTAGTAGCTAAAGCCTCCTGGTAGTGCAGTGCACGAAAGATGATGCGCTGCGCCCGTTTCTGCACTCGCTTGATGCTATCTGATAGTTTGACGGAGAGGGTATTATGCCACACAGGACAACAGTATGTAACAGATATATGTCAACTACCTTACAATACAAAATGAGCCGAACCTATAGTGAATCCAATGCGCTTATTTCGCACACCCCCTTTCCATCCTTTAATTGGATGTAATCAACACACTCTAACTAATGAGATTCTAACCATCTTGTATTGGCTTAAATTTTATAAAATTTTGCAGCTCTTGCTTATTTTAATAATTATATCAAAGCAACTGAATAAAAAAAAAAACAATAATCAACAGCATAAGACGTAAACTTTCTAAGGTTTTGCACTGAAAATTTGACATCAACATGTTGTAAGATATATTGTGGGGTGTATGCAGTTTGCAAAAGTAAAACGCTCTTGTGGCTGCACGAGGATATAAGACACACAGCAAATAATGGCAGCGTGCATAATGTAAGTGTTTTTGCAGTATTTTCTAACTTGAAACTTTCCTTTTTTTATATTGCAGTGGGAAGCCCTTGGAATTCTTGCGTTCAGAAGAAGCTGTGCGAATGTGATGCCGAGGCTGCAAAATGCTTTAAGAAGTACGATTCAAAATTCAATGAGAACTACAAGAACTACCTGAAATCAACGTGCAAATGAAGTGAATAGTTTTACGTATTAAGAAGCATTAAAGAAGGCTTCCTTTCAGCTAGGAACACTATCAATTCTGGTTAATCTGTTAAAGACAAAGTATTGAGAAATCGAAAAGAAAGCATTAAAAGTCACTCAATGTTATGTTCTTCATTCTTTATGTATCTAAAAGGTTGAGTGTCTCTGTGGGTGCCTAAGGAAGTGGTTCAGGAATTGCTTTTCGAGGAAACGCAATCAGCTTGAGCAACCACGACGACGGAAATGAAGAAACATTTTCAACAGCAAGATCAGAACTAATCATTTGAATTGCTGGCAAAAGGAAATTCATCGTTATCAATTATCTCGGGCTAAAAACGATTCCGAGATTTCACCAGATCTAGATCACCAATTAGATTGCCAACCTCTGCAGATCTAAAATCTAGAGGCCCTCTCTTTTGCACTACCCCCTCGAATGTCAACAGACCCTCCTCCCACAAATCGATCCAGCCCCGAAATTATGATAAAGGAATGGCTTACGATATTATATGAAGTCTTACATGAGGTACATAGCATCAAACTTCGTTTTCATCATTGAAATAATCTTGGTCAGTGACTAAAGACGTGCAAAGATGTCCCAGAATCCGTACTGTGAATATAAAAAATTCGAGTTTTGACAATAAAATGTGCTAGTTTCAAACTAAAGCACAGAAAAGTTAAACGTCGATTTTATCTGGGAGATTTAGTGACCCGTACGGGAGAGCCATCCATTTTTGGATTTTTGTGGAGAAACATAAAATCCGTTCTGGAATACAAGAATCCATAGATTCAGAGTTTCATAGATTCAGGGGCGGGGATCTGTAGCGTGCCTGCCGCCAAGAAAGGAACCCAGACCATGAGAAAATAATGGCGCAGAGAGAGACTCTGAGGTCGTTGATCGGGATTTGTAAATTTATTCAAAAAATGATTAATAATTCATGAGCTTAACAACCTATCATGTCTGCTAAAATCCGTCACGTACTCTTGTTTTAAACCCCGGCAAAACACTGTCAAACAACTTTAAAAACTTCATCCTCATTAGTATTCTTTATATAAAAAATACTAATGAGGATGACATTTTATTTCATTGCACGTGACCTATGAAAATTAATTATCAACACAGCAACTGACACAACAAATGGTTGGTGAATATTTAATGTTTTTTCAAAATAACACACGCAGTAAATTTACTATTCCAAAAAGTTAAACTTTGTTCTTTCAACAATTTAATCAGCCAAAAGTTCAGTGACACAGCAGTACTCAAGACTTGTCAGTTGTGAATACGCAAGGCTCGAATACTGTATTTTTGTTTACCTACCATTCGGCCATTCCAGAAAACGTTCTTCAGAGACTACTTTTTCAGTGGAATAGTTGACTTTGGGGTACCATTTTCAATTAACTTCTTCTCTTCCTCGGCAGTTTTAGGCTTCCGAAAAGCTCTGGAACAAGACGCTATGTCCTCTTTGGTTAGTTTCGTTCGTAGACTGGAGATTTCTAAACACGTGTGAGATTTGATTTTCTTACATAATAATTTCATACGTAATGTTTTTTTTCGCATGCTAATTTGCAACGTTCACAAAAGCGTCATTGTTATCAACTCCATTGAGACTCGCTTTTCCAAGTATGTTTTTGAAGTCGTTCAATAATCTCGCGGGTCGGGTGTTATCTGAGTATAAAACCACTCGGCTTCGACTCGTGGCTTTATACGCCGATAAAACCCTCGTTTATAAAACATTACATAAAATTCATTGTTAGAGATTGTAAATAAACGGAAGACTAATTCTTGATTTATTAATTCAATCTCAGTTGATTGTTCCTTACTTAGTGCATTTTATAAATATTAGTATGCGCAAATATGTTTTATCCGTTGCGTGTTCTTCGGACGAAAAAATGAAGAGAGCACTTTTAGATAAAAGTTATCATCATTATCACTATGTCACATCGCACGCTCCACGGTTATTAAATCTACAGTTATTACTGCTGTGTGTATTATTATTAGTATTTCATTGCCTTCCAATATTGGCAAACCACGGTAATCGGAATTGCCAAACTCCAGCAGTACTTGACATGGTTGACGGTAGTTAGGGCGTTGAAACGCTCATACGCGCTCTCTGGTTCAGCTGTGATGTGGAGTAGGACTGGAACTAGTTCGCTTTCCGCTCTCGATACGCTCGTCGACCGCTGTCAGGGCAAGAAAAATGGCGCCGTCTAGCTGGAGGTAGGTTCGGAATTATTGCTTTATATCTTTAGATCGCTGCAATCTATAATTAGATATTTGGCGTATTTCTATGCGATATACAGAAGATATTTAGGTGATATTTTATAGTTAGTCTTATAAGTTAAGGCGTTTTTTTGCCTTTTATGTTTATGTAGTGTCAAAATGGCCTATCGAAAATTACAGGTTGAAGGTCGCGTTTTATCTTGCCAGTCAAAACCAAATGATAATAAACGGCTACAAAAAAAATATGTCATGGTTTTATAAATTTTGTTTCTGCATGCAAATATTTAGAGTGAACTTTTATGAACCTTTAAGGTTTTTTTCCTTCTGAAGTGACGACTTCATAATGGCGATAGCAAGGTTTTTGTTTTGTACGTTGGCGTTTAGCTCGTTAGTAAAATAAAAGATTTCAGTTGCCCAATTTAGCGATTTTTCTTTTTTTTAATATACACTAAGATGGTAAATAATTTTTTTAGTTACAGAACCGCGATCCATTAAGGTTCTGACTATTTTGAAAATTCTACTAGAAAATTGCATTCGAATGATCTCGTGTGACACTCTTTACATAAACAACAACAAATTCTGCTTCACTGCCGTAAAATCTGAAGGTTGTATTGCACAGAAACAGAATGAAGCCTATGGAGAAATTTGCTTTCAAATCCCCACAAAGATTCCACTTTAAAATTAAATCATAGAATGTGATTATTTGTTATTATAATGATTTTTGCAGGACAAATAACAGTGAGTGCCTGGCCTGAAAAGACTACTAGAACACACACTGAAAGATAAACGAGTTCATAATACCGTGAATATGAAGAGGAACGTGAAGAGGTCTTAATTTGTTTGCAAGTAGAATAAATTGAGACTGCTGTGTAACATTGTATTTTTGTCGTCAGAGGCTTAAGTGTAGTGTTGCACAATCTACAGTCAGCTCTCAGATGGAAACTATTGGGACTGGCACAAAATGTCTGTATTAAGGACAGGTGTGACTCTTAGGGAGCTTTCCATTTGTCAGAACTGACCGGCGAGCCCATTTCCATCGTAATGAGAATTTCAGTTTTAATCAAAACTAACCATCCAGATCTGTCAAATCCTAAATATTATGCACAATGGGGATGGTTTTTCAGCAAAACCTCTTAGAAAAAGTCTATTTCATTGCCAAAATGTCTGGTCTGACCATGGTCCGGCCATTTGTATTTCATTTGTGCATAATTCTGTATAATTTTTTTGTTTGCAATATACTTTTGAATTTGTATGTTATATGAATTTTTATGTTGTATCTGTAAGATATATATATAGCAATGTCTGGTTTCAATGTAAGACTAGTGAATGTTTAGTTTCTTTTAAGTTCCTTAGCATGTCTTTCATGGGTAGTTTTCAGTGAACATTTCATTACAAAAAGCTGTTATTATCAAAACAAAAGATATGCTGGATTACTTATTTGTGTTCTTGCGACCTCTTTGTTAGTTTTTCAAGGGCAGTGAATTATATTTTTTTCACATACTTATTCTTCATTGCAAAGCAGTATTAGGGTGTTTTAAATTTACCCGGACTTAAGTTTTCACAATCTGTCCAACTGTAATGCTCAGTATTGGAGATAGGTCAATAAGGTGTTTATATAAAGAAGAATACTGACACACCAACAAATCCAAACTTTAACAGTGAAAACAGATAATCTGGCCTTGAAACTGGGCAGCAAAAAATAAATGCCATAGTAGATGATGAATTACACAACTTGATATTAATCTAAAAATGATGTCAGTGCTATCATCTGAGTTGTGATGCCATTTTCTTACCAAGTCACGAAATTTTAATACAGGTCACGGAGGTGGAACTATATTCAATAAAGATATTTGTTCGCGGGGGCAAAATTGAACAAAACAGAAAACGAACGTGAGAAAAAAATAATTTGTTCCTTCGCTATTGCTCGCAGGAATTGAATGCAATGGGATAATGGCTAACTTTCGCTAGACAATCTCTCTGACGGTCCAGTATAATGTCCGCCTCTTGTTTTGTCTTTTGGTAGTACCCAGACCCTTGTATCACAGCTAGATCGCTCGACCCCGCTCGTTTCAACGCCCTAGCTTCTTACGCCCTGACGGTATCGAATGCTTTCCGCAGGTCAATGAAAACTGCACCAGTCAACCGGCCTTGGTCAATGTAAAGAGCGCAGTCACTCTCTAACAATTAGCCAGTCCCTAACATAGAAGTCCACAAGTTACTCAGACAGCCAATCGATCAATTGTTCAATCAATCAATCAATCCATCCATCCATCCATCCATCCATCCATCCATCCATCCATCAATCAATCAACCCTAATCAATAAGTTAGCCATTTAGTTCATGAACCTCACTTCTTCGTGTCCCTGTTTGATTCTCAAAGAAGCAGTCTTTCTTGTCGTGGAGCATAGGAGAGGCCATGAAAAGTTCTTTCTCCCTTTTGACCTTCGTGCTGTTTTTAGCAGGAATCAGTTCATATGGAATAGGTGAGACAATTCCCGTTAAAGATACCCCACGGTACTTATTGAGCTCGTTTTTTTTCAACAATTTTAACTTAAAATTTACACAGATCGACTACGAGTACGAGATTTCTCAACACTGAGTATTGCTTACGCGTAAATCAGCGTCATTTTGGCGAGAAAACGTGATAGCCTACGAGTTTTAGCTAGAGCGTCGTAGTAGCGGGAAAAAGGTATCAAATTTTAGAAGTTTAATCATTTTGCGACCGGCAGAGGGCTAAAACATTCTTCAATAAAAATACCCTCACTAATGTTTC